TGCAAAAATAGTGTGCCCGTGCAGCCACCACGTAGGTGTACATACGGTAACATGGTACGCAATGCTATATATTCACCCATACTGGACAATAGTATCGCCCTACAATGCCCGTGCACGTGCCATAGAGTTATGGCGCGTGCCCGCGTCTCCTTTTTGCATTGGTTGCGTCATATTGAGCACGCGCGCTTTAGCTTAAACATGACGTAAACAATTGAATAGAACGGCAGTGCGTGGTGTTATGTTCTAGGTGCAATACACCCGCCGATTCTCAACTTCATACGGTGCCCGGTTCTGGAGATAATCGGCGGACAGACAGACAGACGGCCGTTCTAGCCAGACGGACTTGTGGGGTGATAGCATTGTGTTCCCATTATCCCTTTTTCTAAAGATTCCCTTCTGGGGTGATGTTTTTCCACTGTGTAAAAAGTGGGGTGATGTGTCCTGAAAGGAACATCACCCCACAAGGGTGGTCTGGTCAGAACGGACAGACAGACAGACAGACAGACAGACAGACAGACAGACAGACAGAGATTCCTTGAATTGTAGTATAGATGCAAAGTCTACTGTGTGAATGTTGTATGCATATCCGCTATCCAGTCTTTATATAGAGATCAGTGGGCCGCGCCCATAGACATCCTTACTACAATTCAAGGAATCTCTGTCTGTCTCTCCGTCGATTATCTCCAGAACCGGGCACCGTATGAAGTTGAAAATCGGCGGGTGTATTGCTCGGGACCACAGAATGTGCAGTGCCAAGTTTGAAGTGGTTTGGATGAGCGGTTCTCGAAAAAGCTGCAAAAAAGCAGTATTTTCGAAGGCAAACGTGGCAGCTTAGAACATAACACCACGCACTGCCGTTCTTTTCAATTGTTTACGTCATGTTTAAGCTTAAGCGCGCGTGCTCAATATGACGCAAACAACGCAAAAAGGACTGGCACGCACACGTGCATTGTGCGATACATTGTCCAGTATGGGTGAATAGCACTGCATACCATGCTTTCGTATGTACACGGGCACATTATTTTTGCAGTCGACTGAGCGACCATTGTAGGTGGTCGAGCTTCAAACTTGGCACAAACTTTGACGTAAGTGTGCGTTCAACCTGTGAAAACAACACAATTGAATCGCGTGCGTTGTTTGCACGAGCAGTTCTCAAAAACTCTGCAAGTATGCAACCTATACGGCAGCGGCAAAGCAATTTGCGTTTCCCGAACATGCACATTTTAGACGGGCACTGCACTAGTATTATAAAACCTAGACACGACATTAATAATAATAATAATAATAATAACAATAACGAAGTTTTATAAAGCGCACATATCCACCAAGGTACTCAGGGCGCTATTACAAAGAAAACGAAATAAAACAAAATCAGTTTAATTACGAAAAAACGGATCTTTCGACATGAGGTGTGTTTTGAGAGATGTTTTGAATGAGTGAATAGAAGTGGAGGTTTTGATATGAAGAGATGTGGTGCTGCAACAGAGAAAGATCTGTCCCCCCAGGTACGATGAGATTTGAATTCTTGAAGAAGATATTTATTTCCAGATCGAAGGTTGCGAGATGGTTTGTATATATTGAGCATGTCCAGGATGTACGCAGGTGCTTGCCCATTAAGTGCTTGAAGACAATGAGCATCAGTTTGTAGATGATTCTAGACGATATTGGGAGCCAGTGAAGATCCAGAAGGACAGGTTTTATATGGGAGTGTTTTGTCGTTAAGGTGACCACACGTGCAGCAGTGTTTTGTAGGCGTTGAAGGCGGGATAGCTGAACATCTGGAAGCCAAAATAAAAGTGAGTTTCCCATATCAAGACGAGATGTAACAAAGGAGTGGACAATCTGTTCTGTGGAAGCGCGATCAAGATATTTTCGGATCTTTCCTATGTTGCGGATGTGAAATGAAGCAGAGCATTATCTGCTTTTACGTTGTAAATCCGGTGAGCAAAATGGGCTGCGTCACGCGGCCTGGCGCGATGCGCGAATTATCATGTGGCTTCGATTTACGCGCATACTTCATACGTATACCACGCATGTTCAGGCCAGCGTCGCCAACGTGCGTTGGCGACGCTGGCCTGAACATGCGTTGTGCCCCACTTATAGTTGTTTTTTCCCACATGCGTACGGGACCAAACGATTCCAAATAACACGCGCAGTGAGACGCTCTCATGGGCGTGCGCGTGAAACGTCGCGCAAGATCTTGCGCGACGCTATGCGCTTAGCATTTTGCTCACAGGCGCAATAGCAAATGTCGTGTCTAGGTTTTATTATATGTCTATGGCCGCGCCACGTTCGTGACGTTAGAAATTTTGCGACAAAGAATATTTTCATCCATTATCTGCCAATCCCTCCACATACAGTTGGTGACTTTCTTCCAAAATATAAAACACTCTTTTTCTTTTCACTGATACCGTTGCAACGCAACGGTAGAGGAGAAAATGAAAGCAGTTTGTATTGATGCCTTGGCACTTGTGGAACATGAAAATATTACTTAAGAGGGCTTTTAGGTCAGATTAATTACGTTAAGCCCGGCGGGAAAAGCCAGAAAGGGGCGGGGCCTAAACCCCCCTCGTGTACATTTTGGCTCCTATCGTCGCAAAGCATTTCTTAAATCCTGCCAAGTTCCTTTGACAGTTGTTCAGATGCCTTGCGGTACGGAAGATGGATAGTGCCACTCAATAAGCGTGAATATATTTTTTGTACGTGTGAATAAGTGGCGGCCGCTGTACAAAAAAATATTTTCACACGTACAAAAAACATATTCACAATTATTATGTGGCGGCCGCCATTCATTATGTGGCGGCCGCCCCTTATTGTGTGGCGGCCGCCCCTTATAATGTGGCGGCTGCCCCTCCGGACACTTCACTGTCCGGGGGTCAACCCCCAATTTTGAGGTGGACCGTGAATTAGGGTGCGCACATAATGTTTTTGCATTTTCTTGTCATTTGGACCTTGTAGATCAATATTCCAACGAGTGCCACCTTGGCACCCTTGAGCATTTTTTTTAACAATAAAAGATGTAAATTAGCTTCCGCCATAAGGAAAAATATGAGTTGTGTATACATCTCTACAGGGTTTCTTCCAAACTTATCAATGGAGGTGCCCAGATTATGTTTGGGGTAAACAAATATATTAATACCGTTTTTCAATGACTTATTTATTTATTTTATGCATGATATGCAAATTAGCATCCGCCATTATCAAAAATTGAATTTCAATCCATATCTCCTCAGGAATTCGTCCAATGGTATCAAACAAGGTGTCTAAACCCATATGTTTGGGGGGTGGGAAGTCAATGAATGTATTTAAGCCATTTCTACAGTGAGTATGTACATACTTTATGCACATTATGCAAATTAGCGCTCTCTATTATCAAAAATAGTTATAACATTTTCTCCGCAGGAGTTTGTCCAGTCGTACCTAACGAGGCTTCTAAACTCATGATTTAAGGGTCATTGAAGCCCTTCATGCATAATATGCAAATTGGCATCCTCCATTAGCAAAAATGCATTTTTCTTTATACATGTATCTATGCAGAATATTGTCCAAGCTTATCAGCAGAAGTGTTCTTTATCGACTTGCGTTACTCGAACTCAAAATGAATACTCATCTAACTGAAACAACCAATCTCCATCTTCAGGAGTCCTTAATATTTTATTTAAAATTGAACACATTGTATATTATATATATTCGATATTTAATTTAGTATTTGCAGTTTTATGTAAATTAATAAATACATTGCAAGAAAATGTTCATTTGAAATATTTAAATTGTTTCCATGGCAATATTACATTTTTCAAAGTAAAGTATAGTTGCCATAAAACATTAACCAGTGTTCGCTCGTACCCCCGCCCTGCAAACGGGACGCTGGGATACTCTGATGAGCTTCACAGAATCTTGTGAAGGAAGTGGCCTATGACCTATGTATAAAGCATCTGGCTGCAGCTGTTCAAGACCGCAGTTAGACAATGTGCGGAAATGCTATCCGAAAACTTCCCATAGAATTGCGCACACTTCGTCTCGGTCCATTAACAGCGGTCACCCCCACACCCGGTCATTATCACGCAGTGAAGACCGGCTCCTCACACTGTTATTCCCTTAATAATACACTAGGATGTAAAAATACACCATGATAAAAAATACCTTAACATATGTAAACTGTTACACGCTAAAACAGCAATAAAAGTACAACTAAAAATTACCAAGGTTTAAGTCCTTTTAAAAAAAATCTTTTCCTACTCATAAACATTTCCAATTTTTAAATTTGTAGGCAAACTCGATCCTAAAGAGATTTTTACAAACGCGCCTAAAGAGCATATCACCAGATGCGTAAGAGAAAAACCAAGAAGTTTTCCAAAAATCGGGAAATACATGAAATGGATTATCATGATGTATAAACCAATACGAACAGTAAAACGAATAAATTCGAATTTTTGAATCGTTTTGAGATTTACACACAAACAAAAAATCAAAAATATGGCAGCATTCTGATAAAAACTAAATAGGTTTCACTTCAGAACAATTCAGAACACAATATAAAATTGTTTGATAGAATCATATGACATTTTGATGAATAAGCTGAGATAATTGCGGTAATAGACAGATAGAACCAGTGTTTGTGTGGGGAAACCCACAAAACAAGTACAAGAAAGCGGAGCTTGAGTAGAGGCTACTATTTTTCAACTTGGTACGGATTTCGGACTTGATTTCCCTTTTAAAAAAATCCTCCAGAGCCTCGGATCAGAAAAGAAAAAGAAAATTGCTGCTATACAAGAAGTATCCGACTGAAAAATAACGTTTCTAAGATAAAACTTTGACTAGTGTTTTTCTAGTGTTTTTTTTTTTCGAGCAAAATCTGGGGTTTTTCAGATTTTGCGAGTGGTAACGCTGCCCATAATGCGCTCGCGTGCTTTGCACGTAAACGTCACGCACGAAAAAAAAATTGTTATTCAACACTCGCGATGCCTGTACGATATGGATTATGGCAGCCTCGTTTTTCGCAAAAGAAACCTGTATCTTCGGTTGTACAGGGACGAAAGGGGTACGTACATTTAATACAAATCTTTGCTAACGTCCAAACGTTAAGTTTGAAAGGATTGATTCTTCAAAATCACAACTTTTAACATTTTAAGATGGCGTCGGCACGTACAACGGATAAACTGCAGCCTAATTATAATGTGCCATATTTTTGACACATTTAAATTACACAACTCCAGGGGTTAAGATCGCGCAAGGCATGAGGGGAAACGACATGGCGCAGCAAGATCGTACCCATGGGGAACGAGGTTGCACCAGGAATTATTCTGGCTGAATTTTCGGCCCCGCTGGGCCTTAATTAGTCTATTACATAGACCACGGCGAATGCCGTGGTCTGTTATGCGCGAATAGATTTGCTGATTAATTAGGCAAGACCCCGCCTCTTGACACCCTAGATTTTGACCAATCAGCAGGCGCTTTCTATAGGTCTATCGGGTCTTCGATCATTCACCCGTTGCCCGTCATAGACAAGGATTTTAAAAAAATCGCGGCGCGCGGCATCATGTTACGCGAATTCCCGGCTGTTGTTGTATTACAAAACGCTGCGTCTGAATTGACCAATCACAGCGTTTGTCCTGATTTTGATATGAAATGACGTCACGATTTAGTAAAGTCGACTCCGATTGGTCTCCATGCAGCCATTTTGAAGCCCGTACCAAATGAAGGCTCCGGCTTAGGCCTTCAATATGCGGCTCCGTTTTGGGCCCAAATATTGGAGCCTGGGCAAAGCCTGCCGAGGAGGTGACTTCATGAGGCTCCGTGACGTAGTGTCACGCGTGACAGACACAAACAATTTATACAATTTTCATCTGCCTTAATGGCGGTAGTTTTGCTTGCACAAACATGGCTCAAAGAATCTTTTCAAGAAAACGGAAGTTTCCAACCGAAAGTGTTTCGGTGTAAAGGTAAGTTCATGACATAATTTGGAAGAAAGTCACCAACTGTATGCAGACTGTATGCAGGGGGGGGGGGGGGGGGGGGGGTCAACCCCCCAAGCTTTGTCCCAAAAATTTTTTTCATACAAATTCCTAAAAAGTAAGTCGAACCCCCCCCCCCCCCCCCCCCGCTGTGACACCCCAAAAAATTATACTGCTATAATGTCTGCCTGTTTAAAATACGGTGCACCATTCTGTAATCTAGTGTTAAAAATCGTCGAATTTGAACAGCGCCCCCTATTAAAATATGGTACCATAATTATATAAGTCATTCCCTTTATGTAAATTCCTTAAGATTGTCCGGCCGGGGTCATGGTGCGTGTGCCCTTGAGCAAGGCACTTTGTCACTGATTGCTTCTCTCCACCCAGGAGTAAATTGGTACCTGTGAGGGCAGAGATGATTATTGTGATTGAATAAGCTTGCTTGCAGCATCGAGCTGTATACTCCCCAGGGAGCTGAGATGGTATTTGGAATGTTTCATTGGCCCAATGGTCAGGGGTAATAATAATACTGTAAGCGTTGTGATTTAGTTTACTAAAAAGACCGTTCTTTAATGCCGATTATTATTATTATCATTATTATTATTATTTATTTATTTCTAACTAGCAAATTTCCCTTTATCTAAATAAGGTTTACATACAATGGGGAATGGGTCAACAAATTTTACAGGCCTGACAGGCTTTTTTTATATTTCCAATTTGCACTAACTTCAAACATATATTTGTAAACAGGGACGGAGGAACTTTACTGAGAGAAGTTCATGGACTTGAGGAAACAAATATGATGAAGACTTCCAGGAGGGAAGGAGAGGCCATTGTAATACAATGTATGGACGAGTAAGTAGGATATACGTTTTATAATACATCACCCAAAGATTCTGCTTCTGGATTGGCCGAAATCGACTCGCTTGGCAATTATGATTTCGACCATTAACTGAGAACGTATGACACATGTTGCATATATGCAACATCGGTGTGTGCCTTGTGCGTGGTGTTCACATGCACTACAGAGTTTGGTTCAAAAAGAGGTAGTTTGGAAAAGTTCATATAAATTTTGATTTGAATCTCTTTTTGAAGTACTAGTTCTTTATTATTTGTGTTTTGGCTAAATTTATAAGTTGTCTATCAAAGCGGAATCTGTGGTTGAGGCAATAAGACAAATGTATCGGCTTTGAACTTGTGCTGCTATAGTTGAGGGTTCCGACAAACTTAAGCATCCCTGAGTAATCCAGGGAGCTTTTCATTTCCCTTCGGCAATGTCTTGGGAGGATACTGCACCAGCACCGCCACCAGTCAATATGGGCACACCCAACTATTTTGTCCTAGACCATCATCATTCTCAATTCAGCTTTTGTTTCTTTTTCTTCAAGGTTCTTTGGTTCTCCAGAAAATTAAGAGTCCAAGCACAGGAGCAAGACAAACCCCATCATCATGGACTTTCTACACCATCATGGAGTGCCCACCAGGAAAGAACCACTCCACCAGTCTCCCACTTCTTATTTCTAGCAGTGGAGGAAAGTTCAGTGTCAAAGCCTCTTCTAGTCAGCCAAAAAAACGAAGAGGAGTACTTAATTTCTGTTTGCCAGCGTTGTTGTTTAGGATCTCTGACATTAGAGACTAATTGCACAATGATCTTCTGAATTCTCGGACTGGTCCTGACACTTGTCTAAAGATCTGTTCTGCAAGGTACAGGGGTGTGAACTCTCAGCTTAAAAGCTGATTTCAGCTTTTATTGTTTTGGATTTCAGCTTTTTTCCCCTCACTTGCTGTGTACAAAAGTATAGCAGATTTCCAAAGTTCAGCTTTTTACACCCTTTTCAGCTGTTTTCAGCTATTTTTTATCAGTTGTCACTCTCACCCCTTATTGTACTTAAAATAAATTTAGGTGCTCAATGTATAGTGCTGTTTACACTAGAAAACTATTGAAACAGGTCCAGGTCAACATAGCTCATGTTGCCTAGCCCGGTTGACATTTATAATTACATCATATAAGTGTTTGACTGTTTACATTTATATGCTGGGGTAAAATTATATTTCTAATGATTTAATTGTCAGAAATAGAAAATGTTCAGGCCTCTTTTTAAGAAAAGAATATTCCCACTGTATTTGCGATGTGTGTGAATTTACTTAATATTCTTGTCACTTTTTTTAAGGGATCACAATGATTTCTGTCTTCATAAGCTACAGCAAAGGAAACATTTCCATTTTGAAATATAAATATTTCATTAAGTGCCTTTTTATCTAAACATTTGGATTTTTTTTTTTGGGGGGGGGGGTGATTATACATGCTGTTACTGTTGAACTGTTATGTATGTACATAACTTGTTTTTAAATTCTATTGTACTATGTAGTTCCTCAAGATACATCAAGATACATTTTTGTGTTTCGCTGACACAATGTTTGTGCTGAACGATTGTTAGTTCTGATGTCCTGTGCAATATGAATCTTGACTCTTTACAGTTGAACCTTCTGGCCAAATAAACCATCAATAAAAATACAAGTATAACAATTCTTTGCAGAAAAGGGCAGTTTAATTCTCGAAAGACGGGGATAGCATTTTGTTGTAGGGATAGATGATAGATCAAACCTAAATCTTTAAGACTTGCCAGTGTTATTTTCTAATATTATCCCGAAAAAAGTCCTTTTGTAATGATTGTTGTTTTTCAAGCAATAAAAAATTACTCACTTTTAAATGATGAGAGACATTGACCAAAAAATTGCTATTTGTTTATTGAATTATTACTTAACTATTTCGATTTAGTGGCTGTCAGACAATAATTCCCGTTCACGTGGGCAAGGTTGGTCCTCGCCCAATCAGTATCGATAAAAGTACCCCCCCCCCAAACAAAAATTAAGAGAGATTTGGTTGGAATGAAAATATTCGAAAATTTATTCTTAGAAAAGAAATCGAATTGGGATATAGGCCCTAATGCCCATTGTACTCTTTCCCACAAAGTATTTAAAGACAGACTCAAAATATCACAGCAGAGCCCGCTTTTTTTATCGATACAACACAAATAAAACCATTTATTAGCGCTAAAGTATCAATATCATTGTCATTCAAAGCCCGACAATGTCATCATACAACGACGAACGCTGCTGAGAGGCTTGGCGCGGAGCCGCACGAAGACGAAGCCTCATAAGTCGAAGCCGGTGCATAAGCCGAAGCCGAAGCCTGAGGTTTGGTAAACGCCTGAGACAACCGTTCCGTAGTACCATAAAAAGACTAGATCGGCAGCGCGTGCAGACGCGCAATATAGAGTGTGCACAAATTTCTCCGTTCTTTCATATGGACGCTCTACGCGCAGCAGTCTGGCATATGCCCAAGCGTCAGCTCAATGCATTGATCATTGCAAATTAATTCTCAAAGAATCTTTAGCATATAAAGGCCCTGAATAAGTGGAATTTTGTTTTGCGAAGTGCAACAACAATTACGCAGTAGGAAATCTACTAAAACTATTCCTAGCATGCAAAGGTACGATAAAAAAAATATTTTTTTAGGCAATTTTTATGCGCGAGTTAACATTTTGTAGGAACCATGCAAATAGTCCACTCACAGGAATTATGTTTGCGCAAACATCCTGCCCCCATAAAATAAATTAGAATAAATTACAAAAGCCTGCTACTTAGGTACACACGATGGGTGAATTTGCCTCCAAACTGTCCTACGAGTTTATGTCTCCTACAGATTGGCTACATCAACGTAACGTAGACCGGGGCCTTTGCCTGTCAGCAGTCGTTTCCATAGGTTTCCAACTTTCCATTCATTGACATGAATCAACTGAATTTCAGTCATTTTCCATTTCTTGACATGACAAGGATATTTTTAGAAGAGAGATTTTCTTACGATAGATTTAAAATTCCTGACAAACTCGCTAAACGAAATTCCGAATATTTCTTGAAGAAAAGGACATGCATTTATCTCCAAGACTAATCCCCGCCCCCAATGACTTTGGATCATTCGAAATACGCACTGGATGGACCGGGAACAAGTCTAGGTCTCCCCTAACTCTCCTTTTTTGGCCGTTGAAGGGGAACTTAATTGTGCACGTAACCCATACAGGAAAAGTACTATAATATCAGCCTTGTGGTTGCGAAGGCCTAAAGCCCGGTTCATACTCTGCGCGAAAGCGAAAGCGACGTGGCAAGTATTCGCACTGCTGTGAATTCGTAAAAGTTGAACATATTTCAACTCGGGCGAATTTTGCAGCGAATGTTTCATGACGTCAAAAGTTAATCCGATTACGTACATGGACGCTACCATCAGAGCAGTGAAATTCCTGCAGCCCCCCCCCCCCCAAAAAAAACCCCAAAACATGGCTTTTTGAATATTGGGTAAAAAAAAAATATGCTCAGTGTGATTGAAATGTTAAATTATAACAGAAGAAGAAATTCTAAATGTCATGTCAGTAAAAAAAAAAATCGCCGTTATTGATGCCGAAACGTCATAGTAAGTAAATAAGTAAACTCTTTCACGCGCCAATGTGGCCCCTCAGGCCGGTGTTTACCTCCGGTTTCAGTAGCATGAAACGACTGAGAATATTTCTACTCCCCCTGGATGGGATGCTAGTCCATCGCAGGTTACTCCCCAGTTAATGCTGGTACCCATTTATACTCCTGGGTGGAGAGAGGCAAGTGGAGGTGAAGTGGCTTGCCCAAGGACACAACATAATTATGACCAGCAGCTGGATTCGAACCTCTGACCCTCTGATCATGAGTCACGAACCCTAACCACTAGGCCACACTCCCGTGAACAAGTAACACTAGGCCACAAGTACCCCACTAGGCCACACTTCACTGGTGAAGCTGACCTAAAAGTCGTGGAAAAATCGTTCCAAAAAGGTCCCCAAATCTATATATTTTTTATCTCAATTTCTAGGAATCTCCACAAGTTGTTATTTCACGAGTAGTTGAACACTAATATCATCTAAGTATATTGAAAAGATTGACAGATATTGCAAACACCAGTGTTACAGCTTTGAAAAATGAACGTACCCAAGCCTATTTTTCCAATTACAACGACAAATACTGAACATTTCAAAACGATTTTTAGCACATAGTTGGATCATTATAAGGGAAACAAACCCTGAAAGTTGCATGAAGGTACGGGCTTCCAAACGGGATAAATTGATTTTCAAAGATTTCGCCGGCGAACATCCACAATGTCTGTGTGCATGATTTTTCATTCAAAATAAAGTATTACGTAACCTTTAGAAATCGGCCTTCGCAACCACATGGCTGGTATCAGCTGTTTCGTGGCTTGGATCGTACTAATATCGGCGATAGTGCGCTATGTTTTCATCAATCGTTTGGCTAAAAGCACGATAAAAGACGCTTTATATGAATGGTCAACTATATGCAGGTCAAAGAGGTGGCCGTCACGCATATTTAATCACCGAATCTAAACGCGTATAGGTCCACTAGTAGCGGGCTCCGTTCTTTTTCCTACAATAACGTTGTTCGTCAACCATGAACAAATCACGGCTCATTTTGATTGAATGGGATATTTTAATCTCTTAAATGCTTGGTAATTGGTGGATACACGAGAAGCCACACTCACTATCGACTGCCTCTTAATTGGTTTGATCACGTTTGCTTCGACGTTTGGTGCAACAGGATCACATCATCAATCTCAGAGGATCGAAACAACGTTTGTTTAGTCGTACCTCTGCAAATCGTCAAATTCAGCAGATGGCACGTTCGGTCAGATTATGCTCCAAATTTGATACCTTAATGAATTAACGAGCTCTCTATAACAGGCCTGAAAAGAACACGCTGTCAGCACCGATCATTCTCCCATCTCCCCCTCTTCTCTGGGAATTGTCTTCATCTTCGAAAATAATTGCGCTTCACGTGAATCAAACTTAACATGAAAGTAAAATCCGTAATTTCTAGACTGAAAAATTTGGGGAAGGGTACAACAGTTTTAACTGAATTGTTGAGGATAGGATATTAAACATGTGTAAGGCCTATAGTGTTAAAACAGAGTTTAAATGAAATAACTTTTTACGAAAGTTTTTAGATGGATTGTACTTTGATAGAATGTACAGTTATTTTAAAGAAAGCGATGCTTGAAAAGGATTATGTTAAAATGCATAAACATAACTTTAAACAAAATGTGGTGTCACAGCACAGATAGAAATAAAAGGTGGACACTTGCCAATACAAAAACTGCGTAAACAGACAGATTTTACATGCAAAGGGTGTGATCACTGTGGAAGTTTCACCTAAATAAAAATATAAAGAAAATCACAAACAAAAAATGATTTTCTTATCGCCATGACGATTGACGTGTATATTTCATGCCTCACAATACGGAACAATAATTTTACAATGAATAGGTTTTTGTTTCATTTAAAACACATAATTAAATTGCCCCCCCCCAAAAAAAAAGAAGGAAAAAAAGGGGAAAAAAGGACAAGGCAAGCAGTGTAGAGCCTGTCCCCGAGCGCACACTATTCTATTATATTGTTTGGTGAATTGGGGTTTTTTTTGCGCACCAACGTATCCTTGTTTGTTACTTTTGATTTTTATCTTCTCAAAAATAAGATTTTATCTTATCTTCGTAAATTCTTAAAAATAAGTTAGACTCTGTGTTGGGTACACACATTAATGTTATAATACATGGGGAATTAAGGGTCGTTGTAGTTATAGACATTTTGTTCTTCATTTTAACAATTTATTATTCGTTTCGTTTGTTAATTAAAATTTACTTGACGTTTTGTTGTTCTTGGTGATCTATACATTTTCCGTTTTGTAACTGTTTACTGAGTTCAATACACCTATTAATTGGGCAGATATAGGGAAAATATTTGAGGGAATTGTGCCTTTTTTGCGATGGCTCCACATCTGAAAATAGTTGTCTCATGAATGAAAGTGCACAATTGTTCCTTGCACTGTCAATACAAATACATGTATAGCCTATACAGGTATACGTACATGAACATAAATGTGTGGCTTTTTTTAACGGTACTGTATTATAGGTTTAGTTGCTCACAAAATGGCTATATATACGCGCTTCCACTGGGTAGCTTAGCTTATAACGAACACGTCCAAATATTTCGTTAATTAAGCCTTTGTTGTTGTTTTTTCCTTTTGGAGCGATTGTGAAGTTTAGGACACTTTTTCCCCATGCATGCCAAACACAATCTACTTTAAGTTGTTTGTTGTGCCACATTTAGAACAAACAGCCTTGTCGTAGACAGACTGCAATATTTTTGAGGGAAATCTTGAGGTGAATTTCTCAAAGTCCTATATCTACAGAACTACAGGCAGCATTGTCTTACAACTTTGTATGTAATAGGCAGGCACAAGTAAAACATGAACACATTAATGGAGTGATGTCATGATGACGCTATCAAGTGATTTTATAAGGAAATTCCATTTTTTCTAGGAGTTCAAACAACTGACGAAAAATTCTCCGTAGCCACGAATCAAACAAAGAAAAAATATGTTGCGACAGAAAAGAGGATCCGACTGAAAAATTGATCAAATTGCAACCGAAATGCTCAGAAAAGAAGCCCCAAGTCCAGGCCAGAGGTGCAGTGCCATATGTCTTCAGTCCTCCAATGCCGTGGCTCTAGCTCAGAACTCTCAAATGTAGAATAATTCGAATGTATAACTTTTTTTTCATGAGCTCAGCGGACGGATTTTTGGCCTATTTATTGGGATGCACCCGTAAACGTCGCACCCTACAGTTGGGTCGGTCAGGGGTGAG